ATAAAATGAACTGTCATACCGAGGTAGCTTTTGTTACGACATGACCAAATGTCAGTGGTTAAACAAATATATGTTTGCTTTTCCAATAACTCTTTTAGTTTACACTGTTCTGTGTGATAGGAATTATTAATCTCACTCGACAAAGCATGTCTTCCAGGTAAAAACTTGTGCGGCTCATTGGTAGGTATAAGTCCGTAAATTAAATTTTTAAACGATGGTTTCTCCACTGTACTTAAAGGACGCATTTCTTCAATTATATATGTTAATATTAAATTATGAGCCTATAAGGATAAAAATAATATAAATAATACAAAGTGTTTTATGAAGGTACCTTTTCACGAGTTGCTGGAACTGGCCGTTCCAGCGACAAAAAAGGTCACATGATAAAAATTAACGAATAGCAAGCGAATATGACGCTTGCTATTCGTCAATTTTTATCACGTGACCTTGTTTGTCGCTGAAACGGCCAGTTTCAGCAGCTCGTGAAAAGGCACCTTAAGACCATAACGTAGCTACACAATGAATTTAAAATAAAAGCCTTAAATCTAAAGGGTTAAGTTGGATATATATTGCTAAAATATTTCTGTATGAATATTATATATTTTGGAGTAGTTCATTTGCATACTGTAGCTATTGCCCACTGCCTATCACAGCAACTTCTGCGTAGGGAATTTTTTTGTATCTTTTTCTAACGTTGTGATTGGCTTGTGCGCAACTGGTTCGTGTGCAATTGATATACACCCACATATTTAATCCATTAAACTGTGCATCGAATTTACTTGAAACGCAATTCTAACATGCAGAAATAGAATTAAAAGTTATATATTTATCTAAAATAAAAAAATTTACATTTAAAAGTTTTTTTAAAAATATATTAAAGATATTTACCTGTTTCACTGTAATGGATCGTTTGTTTTGCTTTATTGGTTCAATGTTGCTTTGTTTAATATCTGTTTTAAACTTTTTTTTATTTTCCAGCCTTTTCAACTTAATTTTTTCAATTAACTGAGGATGTAATCTCTAAAAAAGAAAATAGAAAAACAAATATAATATTATTTAAAAAAATTATTTTAATTTAAATATCAATATAAATAAGATGTTCCAGAAAAGGTGTAGGTTCTTTCACTGGAAGATTCTGTGAAACATTTTAAGATGGAAACTCTTATGTGAAAATGTCGAAGCTATAATACTTTTTAAATTATAAACGATTAAATATTATCCTCAACACTTTCGCATAAGAATTTCCATCTTAGAATGTTTCACAGAATCTTCCAGTGAAAGGATCTATACTCTTTCTGGAACACTCTATGTAAATAAAAAAAAAAACAAGTAAAAGCTCATACCCAAAAGTGAAAATTTAGAAAAGCAGACTTTTTGCAGTATCCGCTGCAGACTCTGTCAACAGCTTGTACGAAGAAATACAATAAGTGTCTGTTGCAGATACTGTCAACACTCTGATGATAGATAATATATAGAATCTGATGACAAATCCTGCTTGATCTGTCGTCAAACTGCTAATAGATTGGCAATAAATCTTTCTTGGTTATCTTGCAATTAACCGATATGTAATTCCATGTCTTATCAAGAGCCGAAATAACCAACGCAACCGGAATGTTGGTATAAAAAGAGATGACACATCAAGAAAGATTGACTCCGAATTTGTTTTAATCTTATTTTGAACTTACTAACAAGTTCAGAGGCTTTCGGAGTACTATTGATGATGGAGTGTATATCAATTGCACACGAGCTAGTTTGTAGTATTGGCACACAGGCCAATCACAACGCTAGAAAAAAAATTAAAAAAATTCCCTACGCAGAAGTTGCTGTGATAGGCAACGTAAAGATAAGGGGCTACGCAGAATAAAAGGAACAGGGAACAGAGAACAGAAAATAAGAATTTCAACCTATCAGAAATCATATACTGTAGAATAAACAGTGTGTATTCCATAGTACATGATTTCTGATAGGTTGAAATTCTTATTCCCTGTTCTCTGTTCCCTGTTCCTTTTATTCTGCGCAGCCCCTAACATTCCAATTGTCATTAATAAACTTTTTAGTTTAAAAGGTTAAATCCTTTAGGGCGACTGTTACCAACGCCGATTAACTTAATCGACGATTAGTCCATTGGAATTGACCAATCGCATTTATCATTTAGTTTTGACGACAGACGCGATTGGTAAATTCCAATGGACTAATCGTCGATTAAGTTAATCGGTGTTGGTGAAAGAGGCCCTTACAGTCTCATCCGTTACTACTACTACTACTACTGCCATTGTAGACTACGCATAAGGGCTGCCGCACGCACCTTCCGTAATAGGCCTTCTACAATAAGCCATTACCTATGTTTTAAGTAGTAAGTCATAAGAAATTGACCACTCACAGTCGATTATTCTTCTCATGTTCGATTGTGATTGGTAAATTTCTTATGATTTAACAGTTAAAACTTTAGTAATGGCTTATTGTAGAAGGCCCATAACAATAACCATAAGACGTACCGTAAGAATTAGCCAATCATAGTCGAAAATTCTTTTGAACTCTTAATTCTGATTGGTTGATTCTTACGGTATGTATTATAGTTAAGCGGGGAGCACAGACTTTTGCATAACGCATAAAGCATGTGCATAAGGAATTTCATTGGCCCATTTTCTTATGCATGAGTCAATGGATCAATCAAATTCCTTATGCACATGCTTTATGCGTTATGCAAAAGTCTGTGTTTCTCGCCTTAAGTCCATGGAACATAGAAAAACGTAAGGCCGTAAACGTAATCAGTAAGCGAATTGGCCAATCACAGTAGAGACCATAAGGCCGGTAGCGAATCCAATGTTACGATTTCCTTACTGATTCGTCTTACGGCCTTACGTTTTTCTATGTGTTTCTGGCTTTACTGTTACGGAAGGTGTGTGCGGCAGTCCTAATTCTATAAAGCCGCTTCTACATTAGTTGCAAGCCGATCGCAAGTTTGTTGCGACAGCCAATCTGAAGTATTGATTTCAAAATGCAAGCTTGAGATTGGCTGTCGCAACGAACTTGCGATCGGCTTGCAACTAATGTAGAACCGGCTTTATATGCACATATGCATAAAACGGAATGCACCCTAGGACACTAGTTGGAACATGAAGCATGCGACATAAACTTATTATACAATTAAATCTGTTTATATAACTGAACTAGTGTATATTTTTGGAAATTAAAATGAAATAAGTGTGTTTAATATTTGACGAAAGAAAGAAAAAGAGTTCTAGTACAAAAATAAAGAGAGAGATCGTTTGAGAGCAACGTGAATGGCAGTGTTTGATCTTATCTGGATAAAATTATCTAGATATCCTAACACTGAAAATGTTTCTGCAAACATGAATTGCATAGAAGAAAATATTTTAAGATTCTACCAATTTTTAGCAATGTAAAATATAAACCAAAGTATCTAAACATCGTTCTAGATAAAGATAATACTTTTTTTTCATCTAAAATGCAGATAAAGATAATTAATATTTTTATTATCTGGATAAAGATAAGATGGCATCAAAATTTCATCTAGATGATTATCTAGATAATTTTATCCACATAAGATCAAACACTGTTTATGCGTTATGCAAAAGTCTGTGCTTCCCGCTTAAGGCAAAGTTCGTGCGCATAAAAAACAAAGTCACACGTTTGTTGGGCGCGAATCAGTCGACCGCGGTGAACCAGATATCCGCCGGGATTTCTATGAATGCAGTCGGGGAAAGGAGACAGAAGACGTACAAACTGCCTAAAATCGAACTGAGAAAATTTAATGGCGACGTGAAAGAGTGGTTACAGTTTTGGAGTCAGTTTAAGAAGATTCATGAGGACATTCATATCGCGAATGAGGATAAGTTCCAATACTTAATCCAAGCAATGGCTCCAAAATCACGAGCGTACGATTTGATGCCGGTTTTCCACCGACTGGAGAGAACTATGACAAGGTAATTTTGAGTCTAAAAAATCGTTTTGGTCGTGAGGAATTACAAGTAGAAGTTTATGTACGAGAAATGCTGAAGCTCGTGCTTCATAAAGCCATGAAGCCTAATGAGAAGACACAATTATCAACGTTATATGATAGGATCGAGTCACATCTGAGGACGCTCGAGACGCTCGACGTTACGACCGATAAGTGCGCGGCCATGTTGTTCCCTCTGGTGGAATCTTCTTTACCAGAGGATTTGTTGCGCGCATGGCAGCAAAGTAGTTCTGGATCGCATATTACCGATGTTCCGAAGGATAGATTGACTCTCCTGATTGAGTTTCTTCGAGTGGAGAACGAAGAAAGAATTTCGATGGCTGTCAGAGGTTTTGGTCTAAAATCCGAGAATGATAAAGGCAAAAAATCAAAAGTACGCGCTAATAACGATAAAGACATTCCAAGTGCCGCGAGTCTACTTACGACGGGAGCAAACAAAAACGTTACATGCATATTTTGTGGTGCTCAACATGAGAGTGCTAATTGTGAGAAGGCACGAAGAATGAATATAGAAGACCGACGGGAAGTACTCAAGGAGAAAAATGCCTGTTTTAATTGCCTGAAAATCGGACATTCGTGTAAGAAATGTCGTGTCAATATCAAATGTGCATGGTGTGGTAAAAGGCACGTAATTTTGATGTGCACAGAGGTCACTCGCAAGGAAACTGTCGCGAAGGAAGCTGAGCATAATAAGGAATCCACGGAAGAGAGTAACTTGGCAAGTATCTCCGAAAATCCACAAGTTTTTTTACAGACATTACGCGTTAAACTGCGAAACAGTGACGCCGAACACATTGTACGTGCTATTATTGATACTGGTTCGCAAAGATCGTACATTCTGAAACAGACAGCTGAGATGATGGGTTATGAACCGGTTGGTGAACAATTAATAACCCATTCACTCTTTGGTGGCATAAAATCGGATTCACAGAGGCATCGACGTTACATTGTTCAATTGAGTAGCCTGGATGGAAAATATGCTTGCAATTTTAAAGCTCTCGATCAAGATGTCATTTGTGATAGTACCTAGTCATGCGTGCGCAGTACTCTCTACTGTCTAAACAGTTACTGTTCCTGCCTTAGACACCATCTTGTCGTGCGCGTGCAGTACTCTATCGTGTATGAACGGGACAGGCCGGGAATGTCGCCGTGTCTGTATACATGTCTGTATACGTGTCTGTATACGCGCACGACAAGATGGTGTCTAAGGCAGGAACAGTAACTGTTTAGACAGTAGAGAGTACTGCGCACGCATGACTAGGTACTTTTTGTTACGTTCATGCTTTAGACAGCACTGCTTGCTGCGTAAACACGACGCATCATTTTCTAGACAGGACAGAGTCCTGCGTAAAAGGGACTGGTTACTGTTTTAGCGGTCGTTTTTTCATAGACAGTAACCAGTGCTGTCTACGAAAGTAGCCTTTCCTGTTTCGCCCTTTCCGTGTGGGTGATATTGTTTTAGTAGAGGATGAAAACAAGAAACGTATTGAATGGCCCTTAGCGCGAGTCAAAGATGTTATTTTCGGCAGGGATAATGAAGTGCGAGTAGTTCGTTTAGTTACTGCTTCTGGAGAGTTGATAAGACCTGTGCAAAAGGTTTACCCGTTGGAATTAACATCCGATAAAAATAAAAGCGCGGAGCGAAATCTTATTAATGAAAAATCAGATGCTGCTTGTAATTCTATTGATAGTATTTCGGAAGCTTCGCGTCATAGTCCCGTAGAATCACCTGTTGTAACGAGATCTGGGCGCAACATTAAAAAACCAAAGAGATTCTTGTAGTCGAGTAATGTTAAATACTACGCTATTTGTTTTATTATTATTTTATATTATAATTTACTTTACATAATTTTTCCGCTTATGAACTATGTCTAAAAAAAAAAAATTTTTTATATTTTGTTGATTGAGTTGAAGATAACAACTCAAGGTGGGAGGATGTCAGATTTACGTTTGTTTCTTTTAACGCTTCCGAGCGCTAGTGTAGAGTTAGTTGATGCGGCGCGGTGGCGCTGTTGAACAGTAAGTTTTTTGAATGTAATGGCGTTAGCCAGCAAGAAGGACGCTTGTAATAAAGTTTCTTTTATACATCTAATCCTCGAGTCAGTGAGTAGTCTTATCGTGAATCACCTTTTCCCGCCTCTTAACCCGACAGTACCTTCTGCAAGAGCACTTTTCCCAGAAGCCGAGCTCCCTCAGATTATTTTTATGCAAGATAATAGCTCCGTTCACACAGCGCATGTAACACGAAACTGGTTTGCCAATCGTCCTGATATTTTTAAAGTAGATTGGCTAGGTCCTGCTAAGTCCTCGGATTTAAATCCACTCGAAAATGTGTGGGCCGTTATGATTAGGGAGTGGCGATCAAGCCAAGTCAGAACCCGACAGGCCTTAGTCGATCATGTACACACAACTTGGAACAGTCTTCGGGAGAGGCCACAAATTTTTCACAATCAGGTGAACTCTATGAACAGTCGTTTGTAACGTGTGATTGAGAAGGATGGCTATTGGATTGAATATTAAATGTAAGAATTGTAATGTTTAATCGTAAACATTCTATCCCTTCTTTTAAATAAGTAAAATAAGCGTAGAAGAAGGTAGCAGATGCAGTATCACTTGACAAATGAAACTGTTATGCAGCATATGTATATGATGTGATAAAAACGTCTACTAATAATAAGTTAGTAGATATGTGAAAGTATATTAAATATATTGTATCGGCGTAATTATAATTATATTAAAAATAAGAAATGATATGCAATTTCAAGAATCTGTTATCTCAAAATATATAAGTTATAAATATATAAAAAGTGTTATGACACAAATAATTAATCTTGGACTCGTTTTCTTGTCAATTATAAATTTAATGCTAAAAATTAATTTATCTAAACATTTAAAGGATCCTTCTTAATTTCTCTTTCGCACATGTTTCTTTTTCAACCTACCATTGCAGTAATCTCTCCGTCTTAGCTTTCTAATTTATTTCTTTCGAAAATCTTTGATTTTTTATAAATTATTTAATATTACTGTTGCAACTTCTTTATGACACGTGCAATAAACACTGCGTTTTTTTGGAGATACATACTTTTCAGATTTACATAAAATTCGTTATGAGTTCACTAACTAAATTGTAAATAAAAATTGTATTTAAAAATTTCATTATTACATTATTATAACAATAATATAATTAACGGGGACGCGGGTTTTATTGGCATTGCTACAAAAAATGCATTGCCACATTGCAATTCATAGCGCAATTCGACCAATTTGGCTGTAGCGACTGCGGAAAAGAGAGCCGGTGAATTGTCGTGGTGAAACAACACTTTTTTCGCCAAATGGGGCCATTTTTTCATCATAATAGAACGCGAGCGTGGCAGATAAGGCACTAGTCTATCATCCCAAAAATCCTGGGTTTGATCTTCGGTAGGAACCAAAATATTACGCTTGTGTCTCCTCTCGGAAAAGGCCGGCAACTTCCTAAGAGTATTCTTGTCTACAGAACACCTCTCGAAAAATCCACCGTTCGAACCGGCATTAAAGCTGTAGATTCCGTATGTTTGGAAAGAGAATAAAAGCAGCGTACGCTCCACAAACATATGAGAGGGATGGATGGCGCATTACTAATTTTTCATGTATATAGTCATCATTTTTACATATAACATCTCCATTAGTTCGTAGTGCAACTTTTTGGGAATATGACTGAATGGACAACCAGGGAACAGGAATTCTTTTGTAGTAGTAAATAATGATGTTCAAATACTGTTACGCAATATTCAAGCCAAAACCGATTAACCTAATCGATCAGTTGATTCAAATGGCTCTTATATATATATATATATATATATATATATATATGTGTATGTATAACAGGGTCTTATACAGCTAGCGGCCGTTTTCCCGTTCCTAATACATTTATTAGGACAGGCTTTTTGGTATTAGAACCAACCTGACGATTTAACCCTCAATCTGGACGACTAGGAATCATTAAATATGATCCATTGTACAGAGGATTTATGGTTTAACGCCGGATCGGTGTTAATGATCATAGATCTCTTAAGGCACCAGATAAAGCCATTTTCAGCTTCTTACACGCAAAAAATCGCGAGTGGAGGCAGGTAGGATTGAACTCGACTGCTGGTATCTCATATAGATCCTTCGCTGCAGAAATATCATTTTCTAATGCTTCATTGCCTACTATCAAATGTGTAACAAAATCACTAAAATAATTAGACCTCTCAGCTCCACCTTCTTGCAATAAATTCAAAATCTGTAAAAGTATTACCTACGATTACAAATAGTAACACTTTATGATAGTCAGGCATATCTAAATCTAAAATATTTCAATACTGTCATTCCCCTTAAATATAAAAAGAAAAAAATAGAAAAAAGAAAAAACCTCCTCCTGCGACGACACTCTTGCTTTCCAAGTCTCTCTTGACAACGCATAACGCGTCATGTATGGAACATTCCATTTCGTCATAGTAATAATCGTTTGCGTAAAATAATAGAGCTCACTGTGCGTGCCTTTAGCCTTAAAATAAAAAAGAAACAATATTTAAATATTAAATCTTATAGGACCGTGAGAAACACAATAAAGTGCCTTTAATGATCGAGCTGTATCTTAGGTGCTAATTATAATTCCGTGAGAATTTATCAAGAAACACGGTAGTGTCTCGCGCCAAGTAAACGCGAAGCGCGAGACCGCACCGTGTATCTTTACGCGAGTCGATGAGTTTCGTGTACCCGAGATTATCGGATCTCACAATAAATGGCTGAATTTATCAACTTTTAAATAGTCTTAATTTAGTTTTATTGTTTAAATTATATTGTATTATAAATAGGTACGTTTTTATTTTCTACGTACCCTACGAAGGAAGATATCTCGATGTGAAATTGAAATGTCGAAAATTTTGACATCGGAAATGTTGTCCGTTTCACGTTTTAAACGACAGACGGCGCTTGCTAGCATATTTTATTTTATATTGATTAGCTGTCAACGTAATCGATTATTAGCTGTCAACGTAATGACATTAGATAGATAAAAAACAACAATGGCAAAGGAGGATTTTTGTATCCTGTTAAAGCAGTCGATGTCTTGAAAGCTCACGGAAAAAATGTTCGAGAGTCGATTTTGGTTCTAGGCTATGCTTTGAACTGTACTGTTGCCTCTTAAGCAATGCCGAAGAGGATAACGAACGCGAAAATCGCATGTTAAAGCTACAAGTGCGCAATTTCTAACTTCGCTAACCAACGTGGAAGGAGAGGAGAGTTTTGATGCTAGTTTTATATAAATTTTCACGGAATTATAATTAGCACCTAAGATACAGCTCGATCATTAAAGGCATTTTATTGGTTGTGTTTCACGGTCCTATAAGATTTAATATTTAAATATTGCTTCTTTTTTATTTTAAGGCTAAAGGCACGCACAGTGAGCTTTATTATTTTACATAAACGATTATTACTGTGACGAAATGGAATGTTCCATACATGACGCGTTATGCGTTGTCAAGAGAAGACTTGGAAAGCAAGAGTGTCGTCGCAGGAGGTTTTTTCTTTTTTTTATTTTTTCTTTTTATATTTTATATATAAATTTATAAGAAATATTTAACATTACAAAATGCGTGATATCTCAACAAAATTACCTTTTTAAAAAAAGGAAAAAAAGGCGTCAAGTATGCAAAAATGAAATGAAAAAATGAAATGAAACAAAAATGAAATGAAATCTTTTTAAATTACGCCAAATTGTGGAGGAATATATTTTCTTGCCATATATATAACATATACTTTATTTTAAAAAGATAATTTTGTTGAGATATAAAATTGGCATCAAAGCTCTCCTCTCCTTCCATGTTGGTTAGCGAAGTTAGAAATTGCGTACCTGTAGCTTTAGCATGCGATTTTCGCGTTCGTTATCCTCTTCGGCATTGCTTGAGAGGCGACAGTATAGTTCAAAGCACAGCCTAGAATCAAAATCGACTCTCGAACACTTTTTCCGTGAGCTTTCAAGACATTGACTGCTTTAACAGGATACAA